ATGAAATTCACAAGTTCAAAGCGGTTTTGCGTGATTCTTACCTTGAATGTATAAAGTAGAATTATTCTTACTGCGGAATTTCAATTTTATTTTGTTTGCATTCCATTATTTTATTTATATTTTTTTTTCATATGATGCATAAATGTACGTATATGTATTTGTATATCATTCTAGACTTTTACATTTACCACCACGTTTTCTCTTTGCTCTTTTTTTCAAATTTAATTGTCGCTCATATTGGCGTTTGTTTATGCGGTATGTATGGGTATATATGTATATGTGTATATGTGTATATGTATATATGTATATATATATATATACATCCGTTTCACCCTTCTGCATCCGTACATTTCTCCATTTACATATTATTCTGCGTCCACTACCTTTGTACGTCCATATACGGACGCAGAAAGAATTTGGTACCATAATTCTGTCCTACATGCGATATCAAACTTCCCGCGTAGAATAATCGCGTCAGTTTCATAGGGACTTTCATTTTTTAGGGTCGTCTTGTTTCTAGAAGTTGTGGTATAAAACCCAGCACACATTAATATGAAATGAAATGAAATGAAATGAAATGAAATGAAATGAAATGAAATGAAATGTTTATTATTCTTAGCCCTAAAGCTACTTCCTATAGTTTATAATAGTGTCCTACTCCAGTAATAAACAAAAAAAACAGTAATTCTAGATTCCCTTAAAATCATAGTAACTGCAACCACAGTAAATGCAACAATAGCAAATGCGAGATAATGACATACAGTTATCTTAACACAGAAAGTACATATATTATGCCATTTTATCTAAATACAATTGCTTAACCTTACGAATAAATATATTTACAGACGTCGCTTCTCTAATTTCTGTAGGTAATGCATTAAAAAGTCTCAAACCATCACTAAAAAGACATTTTTGCATATGGGATGTTCTAGCGAATTCTATGTTAAAAGTGTTACGTGACCTGATATTATATGCATGCCTCTCGGACCTCGGTATTAGATATTCCTGCAAGTATTCAGGCAATAAATGATTTTTTGTTTTAAAAATAAATAAGACATTTGACATTTCAACCTTTTGCTGTATTGAAAGCCATCCGAGGGTTTTTAACATTAAATTAATAGGCGTATAACGTGTACAAAATAATATAGTGCGCATAGCCTTATTTTGTAGTAACTGGAGCCTTTGAATATCAGTTTTTTTGCATGATAGCAACAATGAAAAACAATAATTAAAATGTGGATATATGATGGTATTATATACAAGAAGACGACTCCAGTGACTAAGACTTTCAGATATTCGCCTAAAAAATCCTATTTTTTTCCCAATTTTTTTACTAACATAATCAACATGCAATGAAAAATTTAGCTGAGGATCTAAAACTACGCCCAAATACTTCATACTAGATGCACTTTCAATTTGAATATTATCTATCTCAATACAAAATTTCTTTTCTAAAAATGTATTACAGTTCTGCTTTGTCCCAAAGACCATGTATTTTGTTTTTTCTACATTCAACTTAAGCCTATTCACACATAACCAGTTATACAAAATTTCCAGTATTGAGTTCATACTATCTACAACTTGTCTAAAATCCTTACCGTACACATAAAGCAATGTATCGTCTGCAAATAAGCTCAGAAATGTATTTACTAAAACCCTGTTCAAGTCATTTATATAAAGTAGGAACAAAAGCGGGCCCAACACACTACCCTGAGGTACCCCAATTTCACTATCAATTGAATTTGACGCCACGTTATTAATCTTCGTCACATGACAACGGTCTTTCAAGTAGTTCATAAACCATTTTAGTGCACTGTCTGTAATCCCATAGGTCTGCAATTTCTGGATCAGTCTTTTCCTATCAATAGTCTCAAATGCACGTTGAAGGTCGATGAATACACTTAACACAATATTCCCGTCATGAATGTATGAACGCCATTTCGAACACACATACTGCAGCGCCGACTCGCACGAGTGTTTTTCCCGAAATCCCGACTGTCCCTTAAACAACAGTTTTCTTGCCTCCAGAAACTCCCGTAACTGCGCACAAACCTCGGTTTCCAAGATTTTGTCTATCACTGGTAACAAGTTAATGGGTCGGTATTGTGCTGGTTTATTTGGTGAGGACACTTTTGGAATAGGCACTATAACACTAGTTTTTATTGCTTTTGGAACTTTTCCTGTTGTAAGGGATGCATTGATCAAGTGAAGTAAAGGGTATCCGAGTACACAAAAAGCCGTTTTCAAAAACTTAACAGTACAAATATCATCCGCTGTTGACTTGTTTTTAAGTTCCACTACCCTTTTTCTAAGTTGATCAATGCTTATAGTGTTGAAGCTTGACAGACCATCACTTAACTGTGGCAATTCTTGAAATGTCGGTGCAACTTTTGGTATTTTGTCGGCTATTTCCTTTATGCTTTTTGCATAAAAATTGTTAAAATTGTCTTGAACAGATCCAGCATCTTCCTCAAATTCAATATTATCATATGACAGAACATTCTTGTTTTTGCTGCCTACAACTTGCTTTAAAGTTTGCCACATTTTTTTGCTATCCCCCTTGCATTGGTCAATAGTAATTTCATAATATTTTTTCTTTTCGTTTCGAATAACACGAGCGTAAATGTTCCTTTTTTTCTTATACAGATTCCAGTCTGAATTTAATTTGGTTATTTTAAACTTTTTATAAGCTTCGTCCCTGTCTCTTCGGGCTTGGATTACGAACCTATTAATCCACGGTTGTTTGCGGGTTTGAGTTTTTTCAAGAGGTACAACTTTATTTACAGTTTCTGTAATATTTTTCATAAACTTTTCATATAATAGGTCCACATCTGTTGTTGAATAGTCCCAATCTTTTCCGTAGAGTTCAGCTATAATAGTGTTAATATTTTCCTTATTAAATTTTCGTTTATATTTCATTTCCTCTGTTTTAATCTCATGTTGCACATCCAATACGCAGCCTATAATTCGATGATCTGAAATTTGTGGAAAATCACCCGTGATTTCTTCAAGCAAGTAATTGTTAGTCACAATTAAATCAATCAGGGTGGCTGACGTATTTGTCACTCTAGTGAACTCTTGAACTATTTGTGTAAATCCTGCATCTGATACCATGTTTATTAATTTTTTTTGGCTTGGGTTCTCGGTCTCTAAGCGAATATTAAAATCTCCCAAAAAAATACTTTGATGAGTTGTAATCAAATCATCTTCCAGTAATTCCTCAAAAAATTGGAAAAATAAGTCCATGCTACCGTTCGGAGATCTATACAGTGATCCAACAATTATATTTTCGAATCCTAGCTGAACATTTAAGCATAAGAACCAAAAATGGCCGTGACGTACGACATTCTTTACAACTGTAGAAGTAACATTGTTTTTTACATAAATTATCGTTCCCCCTGTATGACAACTTTCAGCATGGGCAATGTAGTGACTATAGCCATTAATATTCAGTTCGCTATCCTCAAAATCCTCCGTAATATGGGTTTCATTAACACATAATATAAGAGGATATGGACGTAGAAAGATGGTAAAATGTACACTTGTTATCTGGCGGTAGTTCTAAGATTGGCCGCAGTGGCGTAATTATCGCTACTTAAATATGCAGAATGTATATTTCATGGACACATGATTTTAATGATTCTGCGTCCTAAAATGTGACAACATCGCCTTGCGGTATGATTCGCTTGTAAAAATGAAACTCAATCTGGTGCGTAGCTGTTGCATTTCGGACGACGGCTAAATATCAATCATATGTTACTATCATACTCTTTTTTATTGAAAACCATAGTGACAATCGATTTTCTTTTTTTTAATTCAAACATGTATAAGCATTTTCAATTTGGATAGATCAATAGAGACAATTTTTTTCATGTTCCTTAACGAGCTAACATGTTTGTGTAAAAGCCAGAGCAGAAAGGGCAATAAATATAATTTTTTTTCGATATTACTGACAGCATTTTATTAACCAACTTGAAAACGACACTTGAGTTTTCAATAAAATTACTCTTCCTTCCTTAAGTTGCCTATGACATTCTATCGATTGAATTGACAGGTAATGTTGGATTTTTTTTAATTTCACTTCTGTTCAGATAATTACGCTGTATATTTCTAGCGACGCTTTGAAGTTCTTCATTAGAGAAAAAACAACAATCTACCTAGCACGTTTCACTAGACGATGTGTATAAACTAATTTTTTGTTCTCTAGGCCTACAGAACAGACCTAAAAACAACAGCATTCTCACTATCCCTATTCATAACAAGTAACCATGGTATTAATCGTTATTTAAAGTACCATATACTATTTCGCATTTCAGCCCACAATAAAAAATGAATTAATGAATTTTTATTTTTTCCCAATAGCAGTTTTCCGACGCGTCGATATACCTTTACCTACAAATTCGCATCTTCTGTGGTGATTGTCGGGGTTTGATTATTAAGTCTGAAAGTATTCCTACCTTTTGGTTACTTACCTGTAAACCAGTAGATGTTGCAATAAAATCCTCATGACAGCAATTACGATGATATCGAATATGTAATAGAAAACCTGACCTGTGTAAAGACACCTTATTAACATTTGTACTGGAGTCTCAAACAGTTACATATATAGGTTCGATCCTCGTCACTATACGACGGCTATAGGGCATCCTTATTGGACAGACGCTTAAGTACAGATTTTTGGTGAGCCGCTAATTGATGCTGTTTCATTTTGAGAAAAATTTAAGAACAAATAATATCCTAAAAATATCATTGTATTATAATAAATTAGTGCCAAGCACAAGATTAAATTTGTCCGAATACTCCTTTGCCCAGAAATAGTATAAATAAATCGACCGTTGTCCCATATCACCTTCACAATAGTCCATAGACCTGATACCTACCATGCTATATTAGTAATTTGTTTCGTAATTAGACGATTATTTTGGGTCATGAAGAAAAAGCATCTTCCTACAATTTTCATATGTCCATATATTATTTATGTTCCTTGCCCATTCATATGTCATCTGATTCTGCATCGCTGTGATTTTGTCCGTTCATTATACTTGCATCTATTTCTGCGTCCGTATATCGATATAATATACTTCTACGACAGTACATTACATCTGGATCTAATTCTGCGTCCGTATATTATCTACGTTGTTCCATGCTCGTTCATAAATATGTCATCCGATTCTGCATCCCCATGATTTTGCTCATTCTCCTAACCTTACTTTTACCGGAATTGGCGCGCGATCAGAACATATTTTATTCATCCTTAAAAATGAATAGATCAAAGTTAATGCTTCAAATGTGTATTGAACCAGTGATGTTACCGAAATGGGAATCCACAAAAGGTTTAACAAAAGAAGAAATGTTGCTCGCTATCGCAGGTGAGTAGAGTTTTGAGAGGACACCTTAACTGCAATCATCCATGTTCCCTTCAGTTATGAAAACCGGGGTTTCCTTTCCAAATAAACTGTGTTGACTACAAAATCACCTTGAGGGTCCAATTTTTTATTTTCCCAAAGCTCTTTTTTTCGTAGTTAGTGTTGATGGTAGAAAATGATGGAAAATGCTTTCATTATTTTTCGAATCTTTATTAAGACCAAGTTTTTCAGGGAACATATGCGTGATTTGTAGCATGGCAAGTACCGAGCCAGTATACATGCTTTTCTTATCTTTTCTCAACATCGGAATCCTCCAAATTGGACGCCTTTGTCGATGATATGAGACAGAAGTTAATTTTATATGTACATATTTTTGTAAAAAGTAGGCTCTGAACAAAAATGTTATGTGCGATGTGATTATTATACCAGAATTATACTTGTAGGATATTATTCAGTCACAAATGGTCCTCAAAATGAGACAGCATCGATTTGTGGGTCACCAAAAATCTGCAGTGAAAGACATTTGGAGAGTCCATCCAGTGAGGAAGCCTTATTTTCTTCAGATACTGATGAAGATCCGACTTATATACCAGATACGGATTCAAGTGGCGATGAAGGATCTTTACCAAAGGTAGAGGTAAGGTTTCATAAGAGTGGAATATTCATTCGTGTTTTACAGTAACATCTATTGGTTTACAGGTGCCAAGTAACCGCAAAATAGTCATAGTTTCAGACATAGTAATCAAACCCGGACAGAAGAGTGAAGAGAAGAAGAAGAAAAAGTACATACGCCAACCAGATTACTGCTTTTTTTGTGATGAAGATGTGCTAAACTTTGCACGACATATAAAGCGCAACCATATAGGGGAAAGTGAAGTCCAAAAAATTCTATCACTACTAGTTAACTCGATTGATAGGAAACGTTGCATAAGTAACTTGAGAAAGAAGGGCAATTTTATTAAAAATTCAAGTACTTTTTCCAAGCCAGTACATAAAAGTGCTGTGAATGATAGCGAAGAAAATTATATGCCTTGCCCTTTCTGCCTAGGTTTTTACACACGTAAGCTACTATGGAAACATAAAAGAATTTGTCCACTAAATAAAGATCCTTCAAAAACCGTTCCTTTAAGTGAAGGTCAAGACCTTATGCTACCTAAGAATATAGCAAATTCTGCATTAAAGACTATGGTCTTCCCACGGATGTTGGCCGATAAAATTTCACTGACAGCAAAAAAAGATGCTCTTATATGTGCCTTTGGATCTAGGTACATCAACACACACAGAGAGCAACATCACGTTAACGTTTGCTCAAGAAAAATGAGAGAACTTGCCAAGGTTTTGATGGAATGTCAAAAACTAGATCCTGCAATCAAAAACTTATTTGACGTGCTTCAGCCACAGCACTTTGACAGTGTAGTACAAAGTGTCAAAGTTATTGCCAGATATAACACGCAAACAGATGTTTTCGAATCTCCGACATTTGCGATGAACATAAGCAGATCTCTAAAAGACTGTTATGATATGGCAGTTTTACATATTGTCAAAAAAAAATGTAATTATTTGACAATTTCTGCCTCACAAGCAGAAGCAAATATCGGGGTGTTCCGACAATTATTGGAGAATATGTGGAAGCATGAAATTTCAAGTCATGCTGGAAGGGACTTGAACATGAAGACATGGAACAAAGTGACACTGGTCCCACTAGCTGCAGACTTGAAGTTGTTCAGAAACTATCTAATAGAGAAGGGAAATACAGCTGCTCGATGATTGCAACAAACTAAAAATAATTTTGAGGCATTCATCTTATTAATGGAGACAGCATTTTGTAGAACATTACTTTTAAACCGTAAAAGAGTGGGTGAACTACAAAGAATAGAAGTAACAACTTACATGGCAGCTGGGAAAACAAGTGCCACACATTATGAAGAATTTTCTGAAGCAATTACATCTGCAGAGCAGGTACTTGTAAAAAATTTTAAGAGAGTCGTAACTCGAGGAAAAAGGGGCAGAGGAGTACCAGTTTTGTTTAGTAGAGATGTACAAGACCACATCAAGGTTTTGTTGGACGCACGAGCTACATTTATAAAAGAAAAAAATGTTTTTCTTTTCGCAAATCCGAATTCTGAATGCCAACCCATTGTTGGATACAAGGTAGTTCAAAAGCATGCGAACATGTGTGGTGCCAAAAACCCACAAGCTTTAACTTCGACTAGACTGAGAAAACACCTTGCGACACTGACGCAACTATTTAGTATGACTGAAGGGGACATTGAGCAATTAGCCACCTTCATGGGACATACCATGAATGTACATAAACATGTTTATAGGCTACCAGACGACGTATATCAGACGGCAAAGATTGCCAAGTTACTTATGTTGATGGAAAAAGGAGAAGCTGGGAAATACAAAGGTAAAGCTCTAGACGAGATAGACGTAGACATGGAAGAAATGATAGAAGAAAATGAGACGGATATTTTGAGGGAAGAGCAGAGTTCCGCATCAGCCACAGTATCTGCTGTCGATGACGATATGGCAGATGCAGAGGGAAATACAGAAAACATAGCTACTGAAAATAACCAAAGCACTCAGCAAACAAGAAAGCGTGTTTTAGTTCCATGGACCAACAAACAAAAACAAATTGTTACACAATTTTTCAAGGAACACATTAAACAGAAGAAACCTCCCAAACGTGGTGAATGTGAGGCTTTGATAGAAATGCATCCAGATTTGCTAGCAAATAAATCATGGACTAAAGTCAAAGTCTTTATTCAAAATCAATATACTAAGAGAAAATGAATATGTGCTTAGGTAGGCCGATTATTTGTTCAAAGTTTTCAACATAGAATGGAAAAATCCATTCCTAATACATTTCATTTATAGTTTTAACTTAGGTTTACTTTTTGTTAATATTTTAGTTTTTCAGTAAAGGCTGTATACTACCTGTTGTTGTTTTAATATGTCGGTTTAACAAATACTACGTTAACTTTGAAAGCGCTATATCGAGACGTTTTCAAAGTGTCTGATCTTAATCCAGAGGTACTCTCAATCCTTCAGCGACTAAACAGTAAAGGAAAAATCTTGGCCATTTCAGCAGTGAAGGAGAAGGAAGAGAAGCAGAAAAAAGAGGATAGGTAACCCGAGCGACACGTGTTTCTGCTAATTGGCTTCGTCAGGCCTAAATAAATGTGCACATCCACACATCAAGGTGACCTTGACTCCTCAGGTTACACCCGTATCCAAGTGTATGGGTATGTCTATTCACCTCGGTGGGTGGATATGCATATCCATTTGGGCCTGACGAAGCCAATTAGCAGAAACACGTGTCGCTCGGGCGACCTATCCTTTTTTTTCTGATTCTCCTCCTTCTCCTTCATTGCGGAAATGGCAAAGATTTTTCCTTTACTGTTTGTTCCACTGTACCGCAAAACTGCCTATTACCTACAGCGACATTTCACAATCACAAATACGGCGTATATAAACATTAATGCTAATCCATTTTGATATTTCAGTCATAAAAATCCAATGCTTTACTTGTTGAATAATGCAGGTCATGTAGGTTGGCTGTACTTCCAAGACAATTCTGTCATCAATTTTTATATATTATAAGTCTGGTTTATTTCCAAAGATAGCGCTGTATCAACTTCAAAATAGAAAGATAGACCAAAGCAATTGCATGTAAAATATAGGGTTGACTGCTTAGACTTGGAACATGCGACCAACAGACTGAATGAACACTATATTTTCCACGTTTAGATACGTCACTTATTGTAGTAATAGCTATTAAAATTAAAGTGTAATTAAATCAACTCTCATTGGATAAAGGTAGAAAGTCAACTAGGTTTATGTATATCAAAGAAAGAATGAGTTCAGGGGATAGTGAAATTTGTGGGTGCCGTGAAACGGACTCTGGCGAGGGATCCGTAGTCTGGACCTCCACGCTTGACTTGAATTTCACAGCTTCTTACAAATAATGCACGACGATCAAGAAAAAGTTCACCTATCGGCAACACCGCAGGACGCATAAACCTGTGTCAGCCGAAAAGAAATATTCTTAAGGACGTACAAAGATGGTGGAATGAAAAATATACATGGACGCAAAAACCGTCACTGAATGTGACGGACGTTGAAAAGTCGTCAAATAGATTTTCATATTTTTTCCAGCACAAAAGCATCGCAGATCAGTATACTTCATATTTCTCAGTCGGTAATGATGAGATCTGCGTGGATTGCCGCCAAAATCTCTATATACTCGTCGGACGCTGAACCCCTAGTGGCATGAACAGACGCAGAAATAATAGTGAGATTTATATATATATATATATATATTATTCTAGACTTTCTTTTTTTTAAATCTATTACCACATGTCTCACTTTTCTATCTTATTTTTTTTTAAAAAACTTACATGCTGTTCATATTGATGTTTTTATATGGTTGATGGATGTATTTACTGGCATAATGTTTCTTACAATTCCAAGGGATGAGTGGAAGAGCACTAGATAGTGAACTCCCCCTTGTGGTTTTCAGACAGTCGACATTTGTTTTATTTATTTTTTTACATTTTCCTTTTTTTTTTCTTGGTTAATACTCATGTTTCTCTTTCTGATTTTTTTTTTTTTTTGAAAACTGTTTGGAAATAAAGGCATCTATTATTATTATTATTATATACCAATCCGCAGTAACAGTTCTTTGCTCATTAAGAGGAATTGTTGCAATATCATCCGCTTTTGACACAAATGTCGCAACCATCTTTTTCGAAACACTTCGAGAACGGATGACTTTTGTTGGCTTTTCTTCACCTTGGAACACCCAAACAGCCGACTGTAGTTTATTTTCTGATTCGTAACAGTAAATCCATGATTCATCACCATTAACAATGCTGTACACATTTTTTTAGTTTCCGAAATTGAAACGGTCAAGTGTTTTTTGACACCAATTAACCCTGGCTGCTTTCTGCTCTTCAGTCAACAGGTGGGGTATCCAACGAGAAACTAATTTTCTTACTTCTAATTCTTCATGTAAATTTTTTTTAGTTGAGGTCTTTGAGATCTTCAAGGACGCCTCAATCTCGCGATATGTCACACGTCTATCTTCAATTATGAGTTTGCGCACAGCATCGACGTTTTCCTGGGTGACTGCCGTTTTTGGTGCACCCACCCTGGGATCGTCGCTAAGACTCACCCGTCCATGTTTGAATTCTCCATACCAACGGGAAATTGTCGACTGATGTGGCGCTTCGTTGCCGAAAACAGACAGTAACTCAGCAAGGCATTCTTGTTGCGATAATTGTCTCTGAAAGTTGTAATAAATTATGGCGCGAAAATGTTCTCGCTTGAGTTCCATTTTTCTAATGACTTGGTGACACTTAAAAATTCACTGTAGTGAGAAGACTGCACGTAATGTTGTGAAACTTTGAATTTAAGTTTACTAACGAGTGAGGTTAAGATTCAGTACTGACGTTCGATCCGCGCGGCCTACTATGTTTCTATATGCAAAACTTAAAAGACATCCCTCGCATAAGTTTTAAGGTTCAATGGACGGAGAAATATAATAATAATCACAATAGTAACACAATAATAATAATTATAATTATCTATAATAATCAAGCGTTGAGCACAAGGTACCACCAAAAGAATATACTGAAGCAAAGTATGTAGAATATGCGGGCAATCCGACGGGCACATCAGTCATGTAGCAGCAGGTTGCCAAGTACTAGCACCCTCAGAGTATACCGCTAGACATAACAGAGCAGCTAGTTACGTTCACTAAAAAATATGTGACTCGTTTGGTATTCCAGTTACAGATAAGTATTACCAGCATGAAATACACCGTGTCACCAACATCAAAAATGATTCCACTGATGTATGTATAATGTGGGATGTGCCGGTAATATCAGACAATAAAAGCAAACCGACCTGATATTATAATTCATAACGGAAAGGAGAAAACATGTCAACTGATTGATACAGCGGTTTCCGACGATTATAATGTGGAATCGAAAGAAAATGAAGAGATATCTATGTACCGAGATCTGCAGATAGAAACACATGGGATATGGCATGTGAAAGCTTGGATAACTCCTGTCGTTGTCGGTGCATTAGGAACTATCACCAAAACCTTCCATGAAAATTGTGACTCAATACCCGGTAAATCAACACTCTATTAAATTCAAAAAACGGCACTACTAGGAACAGCGCATAAACTGATACCTGGTTAGTATAAGGTCTATCCTTTATTACCAGACAGATACGTCCGTGGAAGAAAAGTAATAATAATAACAAATTGTCTTTATTCGATTGTTTTACATAACAAGACCAACTTACAACAATAAGCATTGATAAGTGACTTAGATTTTGAGACGCGAATCGGTAGTGTGACGTTTTCGAACGGCTCCGAAGTGAATGATAAAGTGATCAGCGATCTATTTCTATAGATTTATATATTTTTTGTGACTCACTTATATCAAAACTATGAAGGTAGATTGGGTGGCAGAATGGTGAGGGAGTGATTACGTACTGCTGAGTAACCACGACTTCATCTTCTTTTTAAAATTATTCAGAGTACAATTTAGAAATTAATGTGAAAGGTTATTGTATAACTTGGCAACAGTGAAAGAGAATCTCTTTTTATAGACAGACGCAAAGTGCTTAGGTATAACTAATAATTGTCGATTTCTGGTAGCCAAGTTATTGATGTTTTCAAATTTGTTCAGTTTATTCAAAATTATTCTAGTTTCTTATTCCCTAAAATTTTATGAACCAAACATAAACTTTGGTATTTTCTGAGATTCTCCATGTTCATTTTACAATTCTTGCTTATATGCTCAAATTTCCGTATATCTAGAGAAAAACGGTAACAAGAATTTTGTGGCCATTGTAACTTGTCTTTATCATTTTTTATTATAGCTGGGCCATATACACTTGGGCAGTATGAAACCCTCGAAATCATAAGAACATCACACAACATCATTTTCAGTTTACTGTTTAATATATTTCTTTCAGGATATATTTGTTCGAGAATACTATATGGTTTTGAACATAATTCTTTAATATGGAAATCAAATTTTAATTCGTTGTCCAACCATAACCCTAAATGTTTGCGAATGGTTACAATTGATAATGG